TGATTACATATACACATTTATATAACAGAAGGAGAATTTATAATCATAACACTCACCAGTTTGTCTGGAGATTACTGTGTATCATACTCAAAAAAAAACCCTGTTTACATTTATGATAATAATACTGGCCAGAACTATAAACATAAATATATTGACATGACTTAGCTGGGGGTAATATCCTGTTTTCATCTAATTACGGAGTCCTTTCCAGTTGCCTGATTCTCTCGTTATGCAGGACTGCATTTCCAACAATTTCGGCTCCTATTTGAGAGGTGTAAGCCCAATATAACCTCTAGAGCGACGAAAAGTCTTCTTATTTTCACTAACGTTTTCTTGGCTCATTCAAAAAACATGGCGACTCTCCCTGCTCGTCTGCACAGGCGCCGAGCTTCCCATTTTTTATAATATAATTTTTATTAAATACAATATAGGCCATCAATTTACATATAAAATACTGTATTTCCGGAAAATACATACAGTATTTTCCACACTTACCATCTTAACAGCCCATGACTCATTAGTATTACAATTCTTGCAGAAAAGACAATCCCTCTTTCGCCCATTATTAACTAGGCTACTCGCATTGAGGTACTTATTCCTCTTAATTTGATGTAGAGAACCTTTATTTTTGGATCCTGCCACCCGATGTGTGCCTATGCAACCGTTTTCATGGGATGAATTGTAAGGATTATTAACATTAGGATATTTTTTCCATTTGTGAGACCTGACAGATACATCATAGTCATCATGTGTTACATTCTTAGGATTATTTTGTTGGCTTTGTCTCTAGTTGAACAATTTATTCTTGTAGACCTAATCTTATTTCCTTCAGTGTAAAATAACCTTGTGGTATTTATTATATAAACACTCTATAGTCATGCAGTTTAATTTATTCTGTAACACAGCACTTAATGTACAGTCTGATTCATCCAAATCAAACCTATTATTCAAGGACTTAAGCGTGCTTTCTAATTTGACCCTAAATTGTTGCAAATTATGATAATTATGTTCCCTAGTTCTTAAATTAATCGCTAAGTCATTCCTCACATGTACAGCAGCCTTAAATACTGACCAGAATTCCTCCCAGTTTTCTCCTGGATTAAATGTTAGCAGACTTAACTATGAGAGTTTAGGAAAAGATCTGGTATTTACATTACTAGATTGCTCAACCACAGTATTTACACATTTTAATTTATTTAATGCTTCACTTTTACTTGACAGTATTTTCTCTTCCAGTTCATAATATTAATAAATAATTCCCTCTCTTTATCATCTGCACAGTTCACCAGCAGATCACCTTCATATTCTGTGTAATACAATTTATATGACATATACCTAATTTGTAACGATTCAAAATATAATTCTAAATAAACCTTATTCACAGTTTCTTCTGCCACCAACTTATTATAAGCTCTGTTTACATGGCCTTTTTTTTGCAATTAATCAGGCCTTTATTGCCTTAATTCCCATGGACCTTCCATTCACATTAATTACATTACTCTCATCCATGGCTCCTTTATGTATTAGACTCAATTAATGAACACTTTATATACAAATTATAAAATGAGACACCGGTATAATTATTATATATGCACCAAATATCCTAGCCAAATATTTCCTGGCTTAGCAAAATAGTTATAGTAATTATTATTATTATTATTATTATTATTATTATTATTATTATTATTATTATTATTATTATTATTATTATTATTATTATTATTATCAGAATGAAGACAATTATCATTACTATCCCTAAATGAGCTTAGCAAATTAGCAATAATAGCAATTACAGCTCTAGCCTCACTGGGCTCGGCAATTAATTAATAAAATTACACAAATCCATTAATATTGCAAATGTATAAGAAATACAATTCCAGCCCCACTGGCCATGTAAATTCAATTAATTGTGTCAACTATAATCCACCACACAAACACCATTAAATAATTAAGTAATGTCAATTATATGTGATCCCAGCAATGCATTACTTTCAATCAAATCATTAAATTATTTTTTTCCTGATTACATATACGAGTTAGTTAGCACCAAAAGGGTTTTTGTGAATTATTATTATTATTCTTACGTGAGCATATTACCTGCAGGAGGTTTACAAGGAATTATCTGAATTATTACCTGCAAGTAATCTGGGTGAGGTAAGGGGGACTAGTCACAGCAGGTCGCCAAACTGTTACTCCCATGAAGCCCTCTCCCTCCCACCCTCCCAAAAAGCTAGACCTGACATTAAATTAATAATTACAATATTAAAACCAGCTACTCTGGTAAATTAAAATTGTGGATTGTATATGATTAGGCTTGCTGGGTACACAAATGAAATTCATATTATAACTTACTTGGTGTTGCAGCATATATCCTGATCTTCACTTCCCTAAGCTTAGCCTTAGCCCCTTTGGACTTCCCCTCAGAAACCACGTGCAACCGGGAGCCTTAATTCCTGCAATATTCAATCGTAATTAGTGTCCTGCCTGCACCTCAGAAATTCCTATATCCAAGAGGGTATGTATCCCCTAGTATAACTATGCAGACTCAGACACTAGCTTCCAGACTGCTCTGAGATACTGGTACTTACTGGGCATGCTCTGCCTGTTGCACATCGGGCCCACCGAACAACTCACTCACAATCTCCCCAGATACTGGCCAGAAATCTACGAGATAAAGGAGGTCTTGTCTTACTGTATGAGCCTGACGGAGGTCATCTACGGTACATCGAGGTGCCTCTACCAGATTTCCCCAGGTCTCAGATGTGAAGACACGTGGGGGCGCCGTCTGCTGATCACGGCATGTCTTGTCCAGTTGGTGTCTGTCTTAAGAAGAACGAGCTGGTCCCTCTTCCAGACCCTCGTCTCTTCGTTCAAACTAGGGCTGCCAGTTCTCCCTAGCTAACTTATCCTAGTGTTTGCCTACATTATCGGCCTATTACTACCTATGTTAAGGTCTTAGGTCTACATTATTATTATCTACAGTTGCCTTAGTAAACCTAATATTAATATACTAACAGTAAAACTACCTACTCCTTCCCTGAAGAGTAAATCTATAAATTAAATACATGGCTACCAACAATCCATCACCAACAAGAGAGAATGCTTTCATGTTTGGGTGGGGTATAAGGGCCATCCAGCTCAGCCGTCCCTTACGACCATGCTGGATCTGTCCTGTGGAACTTTAGGGACCAAATAAATTTCCACATTAGTTGAATTTTTCACGACATCCAGTGCCCACAAATTACAAATGGCATCTCCTTTCTGGCGTCACTACTGGCTATTCTACATCCTTCCTTACTCGAAATTTCTCGAAAGGGTCAAATCAGCATCACATTTTAATATGCAATTATTTTACTATTCATTTAGGAAATTTTGTACAAAATTTTCACACTTTATATATATATACTGTCAGTGGTTGTTGGGTCTCATAGTATGGTCTGGGATTAACTTTAAACTGTTATAAAGTATAATTAGATACATATTTATTTTTTTAATATTGTGTACAAAATTTTTGGAAAGTAAATATTTTATAAGTTTCTTTTTTTATTTTAAATTATATTTATATTTATTTAATGTGCTAAGAATACCCCTGTTTTTTGTCAAAAGTTAGAAAGTTAGTAATTTACTATATAGTGCTATGATATTTTTTGTAGGTTAGGATGTAGGGATGTGTAGCAAATGACATTTACCTCAGTGCATGTACAGTCATGATTGAGAGTGGACGTGTCACAAGTCACTGTAGATAACCATCATTGTCACAGCCTGGGAATGAGATGTAAGGACAGGCTGGAGCCCTGGAGGATTATAAAAGGGCCAGCAAACAACTGGAAAGAGGTTGGAGCATTCCTGAAGTGTAAAGTTGTGAAATAAGTATATTATCATGATTTTAAGTATCTTGATTCTTGACTTGGGTGGCCATTAATAGTAATATTGGATACAGTGTTTGCATGTGTAATTATTAGATAGGATGTTTTTATGTACAGAATAGTTTGGTATTTATATTTAGGGATGTCTGTTTTTTGGATTATGTAATGGAGGTAACAGTTTTTGTGGTAACTTACAGTGTGTGTCTGTTAAGTGCGGCAAACTATAAAATTTACTGAGATTATAACCGAGCAACTGTGAATGTGGTTTTTAATTTCCCCCAAATTAATCATAATAGTATTTATGCTGACAGTCATACATTAAATTTTACTATTTATTTATTAATATTTTATATGGTCCTCAGTGTTATTAAAACATAATCTATTCCTCATTCTTCCCGCCCCCTCACCTTTTATCAGCCAAGTCATGACATTTGTGCCAGTCATGGACAAATTGGTGCTGGCATGACAGACACTAAACTTCGCCAGTTACATGAGATGTCATTGCTTGTTAAAACCATTACTGATCGAGACTATGATACTGGAAGTAACATAAAAAAAAAGAAAATGGGTATACTAATAAGAATATTAGACATTAATCTAGCGACACTGCTTTTTCCTTTCAGTGTACATTCTTTGAATATTTTTTTTGATACACATGAAAGTTGCTTGTAGTCAACAACATGCGTAAACCAGGTATAATACAAGTGTCACGATGGAAAATCTATATTACCGCTTCAAAATCTATTTTACTACCATCTAGGTAATGTAGTTGATGCCATAATCGCTGATATTCCCCTTATAGTATCGTGGCTCTATACATATATAGTATGTCTTTATTTTCATATTTTAAATTCTAAATTTAATGCCCCAGTGCTTTATGTCTTTATAAACAATATTGGTTTTTGCATGAACAAAGTAAGAAAGCCACAGGAGGAAAATAAGTGTATTTTCTGTGGTGTTTTGGGACGTACCAGATAAATATGCTCATTCGATTAAAAACACTTGCATGAGGGCGCTCTTCTAAGAGCTTACCCGAGGTACATAAGTAATTCCCTTGCACGGCCTTGAACGGGATTAACTTGACTGATTACAAAGGAATCGAAAATATCTACTAATGAGTATATTTGATTTCAGGGCGAGTGTGGAGGTGTGGTTGCTTGTAGCAGGACTGGTGCTGGCGGCTTATGTATACTCTCGCTGGCGCCACAGCTACTGGTCGTCCCGTGGTATTCCCACCCCACCTTTTCTACCATTCCTGGGACACATGCATAAGAAGTTAGCATTCTTTCAGTCTCGATGGGAATATTTCGACGAGGTTAGTTCTCGCCATTCTATGGTTGTCATCAAAAGCTTCTGCAAATGATTTTAAGGGAAGTATGAAACTATATTTTTTTTTTGTAAATGAAATATGTCTTAATCACCATTATTATTATTATTATTATTATTATTATTATTATTATTATTATTATTATTATTATTATTATTATTATCATAATCAAAACCAAGCGCTAAACCCACTAGCGTCATACGGTGCTGCAGACAAGGGGTTGTTGCTGGATCAGAGAGTAGCGAAGGTGGAGAGGATAACAGAGGAAGAGATAGAAAGGGTTGAGAGGAGTGTTAAATGAAGTATTATCGAAGTTTGTGTAATAAATCGGTTGCTGTCAGAAAAGACAAAGAGGGAGTCTGAGTCAAAGGTGGGGCTGTCAGCAAGGAGGGAAGATAAAATATGAATTCAAGAGTGGTGATGATGTCGGAGGTAAATTCTGTGTGCTCGACGATTAGACAAGACAGTCCAATGGAATATGGCAAAATATAATTGGAGCCTGACAATTTTCACAGGGTGGAACAGGGTACCTCTCTATGAGATACCCATGAGTAAGACGGGTTTGCCCGATGTGAAGACGGGAGAGCGTAGTCTCCCAACTTCGGCATCGATGAAAAGAAGGCCAGAAACCTAAATTTGGCTTGATAGAACATATTTGTTATGAGTTTTATCATACCAACATTGTTGCCAGTGGTTACGTAGGTGGTTAGAGAATACAGCAAAATGGTATGAGAATGAAATACCTCTATATGAAACTGGGGGGTTATGTACCATTGACCTTAGCAGAGTCCGTCTACTCACTGCCTTGAGCATCAACATGACCAGGGATCCAGCAGAAAATGACTTCTTTGTTTTTGCTAGAAATGCTGCACAACCAAAGTTGCATACGAAGAACTATGGGATGAGGTAAATCAAATTTTTTAATAGCTTGCAAAGCACCAAAGGTGTCTGAGACTACCACAAACGTTGAGGTAGGCACAGGTGCAATATGGATAACTGCAATGAGAACTACGTACAGTTCAGCTGTAAAAATGCAAGCCAAGTCTAATAAATGACCTTGCACAACGCTTTCTGGGAACATTGCTGTAAACCCGATACTGTCAGAAGATTTAGAACCATCAGTGTACACTGCAATGGCATGATAAATAATGAGACTGGAAGTGGTTGAGGAAAACGGAGCGAGAACCAATTACAGTGGACCCCCGCATAACGATGGCATCACATAGCGATTTTTCCGCATACCGATTACTTTTATCGCAAAATTTTTGCCGCGCATACCGATTAAAAACCCGCTTACCGATTTTCGTCCGAGACGCATCCAATGTGCCCTCAGCCAGCCTCACATGTGCCAGCCGTCCCATTGTTTACCAGCCAGCCTCCGCGGTAACATCCAAGCATACACTCGGAATATTTCGTATTATTACAGTGTTTTCGGTGCTGTTTCTGGAAAATAAGTGACCATGGGCCCCAAGAAAGCTTCTAGTGCCAACCCTGTGGTAAAAAGGGTGAGAATTAGTATGGAAATTAAGAAAGATTTTGAAGGGTTTGGGGCTAACCCTGAGAAGCCTATGCCAGTTGTGGAATCCATTGTGCCTGCTTCAAAGATTAAGGAAATGTGTGCACAGTGGGTTGAACTGCAAACCTTTATAAATGAAAATCACCCTGACACAGCTGTTGCAAGCCGTGCTGGTGACTATTTCAATGACAATGTTGTGGCCCATTTTAGACAAATCGTAAAGGAACGGGAGGTACAGAGCTCTATGGACAGATTTGTTGTGCGACAGAGGTCCAGTGACTCTCAAGCTGGTCCTAGTGGCATTAAAAGAAGAAGGGAAGTAACCCGGAAAAGGACTTGCTACCTCAAGTCGTAATGGAAGGGGATTCCCCTTCTAAACAGTAAGAAGATAATGCTCTCCCCTCCTCCCATCCCATCAATCATCACCAGATCTTCAATAAAAGTAAGTGTCATGTAATTGTGCATGCCTTTTTCAGTTTGTGTGTATTAAAATTAACATTTCATGTGGTAAAAAAAAAATTTTTTCATACTTTTGGGCGTCTTGCACGGATTAATTTTATTTCCATTATTTCTTATGGGGAAAATTCATTCGCATAACGATTATTTCGCATAACGATGAGCCCTCTTGCACGGATTAAAATCGTTAACCGGGGGTCCACTGTATAGATATTTGAGGTTTCGTGTACGGCAGTGGGGAAAAATAGATATGAACCATTGAAACCTCTGAGGGGGGAGGGGAAGAGAAAAGTTAGATGCTAGATGAACATATAAAGGTGGCGTTACTATCCTGTATGTAGATGGATCATGAAAGTTATCACAGCGGAGACAGTGGACATCACGGCGATCGTTCAAGGATGGAACATTTGCCTCTGCAAAGGCTCACGACAGGTGAGGAGCGAGAAGCACCTAAACATAGGAGCGAGAAGCACCTAAACATAAAAACAATCCCTGATGATGGATGTGATTAAGTTTAGAAAGAGTTGCGGGAGAGGCAGCGAAATATATTTGGTCGTCATAGCCTAGTTCCGATAAAATTAGGGCTGAATGCAGTCAAAGGAGAGTTCGACGATCCGTTTCCCCCCCTACGAAAAATAAACGAAGGTTTTAAGGAGGTTCAGGGGGCTATGGCAAGTTTCTTTCAGGGAGGTAATGTGAGGTTTCCAGGACAGATGGCGATCAAACAGAAGGCCGAGAAATCTGACCATATCACATTCAGGGATACAGGAGCCATACAGGTGCAGTGGAGTATCAGGGACAATAGAACATCTGGCAAAAGTAATTTGGTGCTTTTTAGCACCAGAAAAAATAAACCCATGAGTAGTGGCCCAATGGGAAACACGGTTGACAGCATTCTAGAGTGAGGCTGCTACTAGACAGAAGTCAGCACCTGTACAAGCTATAACAAAGTCATCAACGTAAAGTGATGACCAAATACTAGATTGGAGAACAGAGGCCAGATTATTTATAGCTAGCAGTAAAGAGTAGTTCTAAATACACATGCCTGAGGGACACCTTCAGCTTGGACAAAGTCCGGGGAAAGCAAATTAGTAACCCTAACATACAAATGTCTCTCAGATAAGTTTTTAAGGAAAAGTGGCAGATTGCCTCGGAGGCCTAAGGAATGAGCTAGGACCAGGATGTTGTATCTCCAAGTTGTGTCATATCTCTTTTCAAGATCAAAAGAGATTATGATAACTGAGTAGTTACTAGCAAAGGCATTACGAACATAGGTATCTAAGCGGAGTAAGGGGTCAATAGTTGAGCAGCCATTATGAAAACCAAATTGACTAGTGGAGAGACTATGTGTCTCACCAAACGTCTATAAACTAGACGTTCCATCAGTTCAAATTGCCAACATAGGCATCGAGGAGGGCGATAATACGAATGGAAAGTAAGGAGGGTAGGAAAATGATCGCTTTCATGTAAATCTGGGAGCACAGACCAGGTAGAGTTGAGTGCAGTTGATGAGGAGCAAACTGAGAGAGAGAGAGAGAGAGAGAGAGGAGAGAGAGAGGAGAGAGAGAGAGAGAGAGAGAGAGAGAGAGAGAGAGAGATTTAGTGCGAAGGTCAAAATGGGGAAGAGAAGTGAGAAAAGCCTTTGACTGATCGACACGAGAGTCACAATGAGACCCCCAGTGAAAATGATGAGCATAAAAATCACCTAATAACAAAAGAGGTGGTGTAAGGAAGAAACCAGAAATGCAACTTCTAGAATAGCTAATGCTAGAGAAGGAGAAAGTTACAAAGAGCAGACTGTATACTATTTGTTCAAGAAGATGCAGGCTGCAGTGTAATGCAGCGAAGTATGAACAAAGATCTGATGGTGTGGTATACCAGTGCATATGAGACGTGTACTTTAAAAGTTCCATCGGAAAAATGATCCGATGAGTGCAATTAAATATAGCCCAAGGCAGGATGGCTAGCAACGGAATATAATTTAGGTTCTTGTAAACAGACACAAACAGAGAAAAACTGGGAGAGCAACACTCGAAGTTCACCCCGATTACCCCTGAGGCATCGAATATTCCATTTTAAATAAGTCATGATTTGCGAAGAGAAGTATACTGGTAACATGAAGCAGCAGGTGTCTCCGGACTAGGAGGGCTAGCAAAGTCTACATCTGGAGGTAGTGGAAGACGAGTCAGCAGCTAAGGATTAAACGCTGCAAAAAAAGAAGTTTAGAAAAGTGAGGAGGAGAAGGAGTGATGGGAGGTGGATCGGTGTCCATCATTAGTTTTGTCTCTTCAGTATATTCGGAGATAGCCTCAAGCGTTTCAGAGGACAAGGAAGTTGCAGATAGTATGGCATAGAGATAGAAGGGGGAGGGGGTGAGTAAAGATCGGACAGATGATGGAAGTTACCAAAGAAGGGGGGGGGGATGAGAGGTTAGAATTAACTTTGGAAGAAACTTGGGAGGGGACAGGAGAGGAGGGAACTGTACGAGGGGGTGGATGAACCTCCACACCTGTAACAGAGACTGGAAAGGTACAGAGACCAGAAAGGAAAAATGTTTGCTAAGGATAAGTGAAGGAGGGGTTAAATGAGATTTGAACTTTGGAGATGTTTTAGGCTTTAGAGAAGCAGAGAGGCGAAGGGAAGGTGTAGTTGTGGGAAGTCTTGTAGATACAGAATCATGTGAGCGAGATGAAGACAGTATGAGGCGATGGAGTCCAGGGCAAGGTAACTGTGAAAGTTGTGACCAAAAAGGAGATTGTGGAAATAGGTACCACCGAGGAAGCCTTGTAGTAACTCTAGAATAAGAAAGTTTTGGAATTCTCCCTTGGACGCAGAGATTAGAGACTGCCATGGCGTAAGTAAAACCTTCTTTCTCTTTGAGAAGCAGATTTATCGTTCTGTTAAGTAAAAGTGGCAATGACGAGAATAAGCCGGGTGAGACTCATTACAATTAAGGCCAGAAGGAGGTAGGCTGCAGGATATACTGGTGTGGTCGGCAGACCCACAGACTGAGCATTCTACCATGGACCTTCAGTATTTCGCTTGGTGGCCGAAGCCAAAGTGCCAGCAATTTCCACACTGTTGTAGTGTAGGGATCAACTCTCGGACTTGCAAACGGTGTCCTGCACAATGAACTGAAGATGGAAGTTCTCGGCAGCCAAAAGCTAAGCTAGTTATATTGCAGGGGTAAAGTCTCCGCTCGTGAGCAGGTAGTACGTAAGTGTCCACTTTGAGAATTGGGAAGTCTTGGAGCTCAAGCTTCTTCAGAATGTTGGCATCACATGTTCGGAAATCACATTGAACAATTGTATGAGACAGAACTATAGTACCACTGAAAAACTGAGAGAAGTGTGTTTTCGAATTGTGACAGGAATATCATCTATGGAGGAAAGAAGGGAAAGATTGTGAGCCTAGCAAGCATTTCGTACCATGACGATGCGTGCACCACTCGAAGAGCATGAAATGAAATATTTTGACCAACATTGTGCAGGAGTGCCTTGCTGATACTATGATCGGGAAGATAGTCAGTGGGAGATGTCGGTTGCAGAGTGAAAAACGTAGTCCATTGTGTACTTTGAAATGTAATGTGTAAAGGGAATAAGTGTCGTGCTGATCTCTTCTGGAAAGAGTGAGAAGTAATCGAAGCAGTGTCATCTGATAATGATCGTTTAGGTGTTGGACAGGAGGTGGTCCACCATATGATGGGCGGGCAATCTGAAAATCGTTGCACCATAGAGGGAGAAGCCGGAAGCATAGCCAATGACTTGCGGAGGTCAGATGTATCAAAGGAGTCAGGCGGAACCTCAGTACCAGGAGCAGGCAACAAAATGTTACCCACAAAAGGTACTGGGGTGTTAGAAAGGTCTGAAGAATGGTCCGATAACGAGGTAGGGTAGTGAAAGGGCGCCGCAGCAGACAGGGGTCCTGGAGGTGTAGTTTCATAAATCTGGGATTCCATGCTTAGGTTACTTTTTTCTTTTTGTTTTTTTCCCCAAAAAAAGGAAAAAGAAAAAAATGGGGGAACATGGAGGTGTAGCTCCTAGGAGGAATGAAAGAGTTGTAGATCCCCTTTGCACTCAAGAGGATCTCAATGCGGCCAGTAGTGCAGATGCTGGTAAACCGGCAATATAGGAAAGCAACCTCACATCCACCGAATCACCTCAGTAGACAAAAGAGAAGGCGGTCGTAAACCCACCACTAGGCATACCTCCTTGGTGTAGGCATACCTCCTTCGGCCACCACCCCCTGGAATCCGACTGGCAGCCTCCAGATACACACCCATCACCGAAAAGACATCGTAAGCTGCCCCTCGGGAGACCCGAGAGGGATCGGGTCATCTCTAGATGATCCAGATTTTATGACAAACTACACCACCACCAAGGACCTCAACGGAATGGGATGGACAACGATACCCTTTCCCCAACTTAGGAACGGGAGTACCCCAAAGGCCAAAAACAGGAAAGGGAGAGGGGAGGGATGAGGAAAGGAGGAGGGAAGGGGAGGATGGGGCTGGGAAGGGAGGAGTGGGGGTATTTAGGTTTAGTCGGAGGAAGAAGACTGAAAGGTTCGATTCCTCATACCAGTAGCTTCTTCGTGCCTTGTTTAAGAACCTCCCTTGAAGAGGTATTTACCACCAAATACCAAATACAGTGGACCCCCGCATAGCGAACGCCTTGAATAGCGAACAATCCGCATAGCGAACGCTTTGTTCGCTGAAATTTTGCCCCGCATAGTAGACAAAAACCCGCTCAGCGAACTTCGTCCGAGACGCGTCCAATGTGGGCCCTCAGCCAGCCTCACATGTGCCGCCCGTCCCATTGGTTACCAGCTAGCCTCCGCGGTAACATTCAAGCATACACTCGGAATATTTCGTATTATTACAGTGTTTTCGGTGCTGTTTCTGGAAAATAAGTGACCATGGGCCCCAAGAAAGCTTCTAGTGCCAACCCTGTGGTAAAAAGGGTGAGAATTAGTATGGAAATTAAGAAAGATTTTGAAGGGTTTGGGGCTAACCCTGAGAAGCCTATGCCAGTTGTGGAATCCATTGTGCCTACTTCAAAAATTAAGGAAATGTGTGCACAGTGGGTTGAACTGCAAACCTTTATGGATGAAAATCACCCTGACACAGCTGTTGCAAGCCGTGCTGGTGACTATTTCAATGACAATGTTATGGCCCATTTTAGGAAAGTCTTGAAGGAACGGGAGGTACAGAGCTCTATGGACAGATTTGTTGTGCGACAGAGGTCCAGTGACTCTCAAGCTGGTCCTAGTGGCATTAAAAGAAGAAGGGAAGTAACCCCAGAAAAGGACTTGCTACCTCAAGTCCTAATGGAAGGGGATTCCCCTTCTAAACAGTAAGAAGATAATGCTCTCCCCTCCTCCCATCCCATCAATCATCACCAGATCTTCAATAAAAGTAAGTGTCATGTAATTGTGCATGCCTTTTTCAGTTTGTGTGTACTAAAATTAACATTTTTTTGTGGTAAAAAAATTTTTTTTTCATACTTTTGGGTGTCTTGCACGGATTAATTTTATTTCCATTATTTCTTATGGGGAAAATTAATTCGCATAGCGAACATTTCGCATAACGACCAGCCCTCTTGCACGGATTAAGTTCGCTATGTGGGGGTCCACTGTATATAATAATTTTAATACATGAAAAGTATAAAATTTATCTGAATAAAGTCAGAGTATTGGGATTAATTTGTTCACATTGTAATTACTGACTATACTTACAGGTATATCACAAGTACGGTGGAGCATCGCTATGTGGCCTCTATGATCTGTTTCTTCCTGTCCTAATGATTGGTGATCCAGTCCTTCTCAAAGGCATTCTTGTTAAAGACTTCGATCACTTTGTTGACCGACAGATATTTCGGGCAGAAGAAGGAAGCATTACTAATAAAATGCTAATCAGAAAGTCCGGAGATGAGTGGAAGGCACTTCGAGCCATCATGACTCCGACATTCACCTCTGGCAAGATACGTGGGATGTTCCCTCTCGTCTGTAACAAGGCTGACACTCTTGTCTCTTTTACTCTCAAAGAAGCCGCTCAGAAACCTTATATTGATATGAAGGATATCTTTGGACGGTTTACTATGGACACTATTGCTTCCTGTGCTTTTGGTATTGAATGTAATTCTTTTAAAAATGAAGAACCAGAGTTTGCCAAAAGGGCAGCAGCTTTTTTTGGGTCATCACTTACAAGGGTTATCAAATTTACTCTTTTTTCCATGTACCCAAGGATTTGTAATGCTCTGGGCGTGAAAATAGACACACCTTCTATAAAATTCTTCACAAGAGTAGTGAAGGGGATTATAGCAGCACGGAAGGCTGGTCAAAAAAGGGAAGATTACCTGGACATTCTCCTGGATACACAAAGTGGTCATAATTCTCCAACTACTGCCCATGAAAACCACACGAGCATCACTCACGACTCTTCAGTCACCGAAATAGACAAAAAAATCGCCCCTCTATCTAAGCAAGGTCAGTCTTAATATATTAGCCGTTATTTTATAATCCTAACAATACCACAGTATTAAAATATTATATAATAGAAACATCGTTGAGGCAGGCTTTGGCTGTTTCATCATTAAACTAATCATAGGAATAAGACACATATGCACTATCAAAACATTTCTAGAAGAGTATCAACACTAGTGTTCTTTTCAATCCTAATGAAGAGACATCTAAAACTATAACATGTATAATTAAGAAAGATCCATTGTTACCCAGAGAAAAAAGGTAGAGTGGTGATATCACGGATTGAACCAAGATGCCTTCCATTGAGCAACTTTACCAACAGCTTAAGGAAGAATTGAGGATGGCGAAGATGAAGATTCGGCGACTGACCGAGGAAAACAAGAAGATTCGTAGTAGTCCTCCTGTTTTGAGTCCTCAGGTCAAGAAGGGAAACTGGTCAGTGGCTGGACAGCAGGGAACGAAGTTGACGATCAAGAAGACGAATGGAAAGGTAGAAACGATGAAGAAGAAAGAGACTGCTGTGGAAACTGTTGTGGAAACATCTAATACATTCTCAGTGCTACCGGACGAACGTGAGTCGACTACTGGGAATGTCACGACGAACGACACCAAGGAAGGTAAGAATATTGTTGTTGTTGGGGATAGCCAAGTTAGGTATATGGATAGGGCGCTCTGCTTGAAGGACAGGAGTAGGAGACAGAGGGTTTGCTTTCCTGGGGCTGGGATGGAGGATATTGTTAGCCGTCTGGATGACATCATGAGAGGTAATGGGAGCAATCCTATTATCTGTCTCAGTGCTGGAGGCAACGATGTTGGCAGACGTAAGATTGAAGACCTGATTAGCAGGTATAGGTCAGCAATAGAAATAATTAGGAGGAAGGGTGGGAACCCTGTCATATGTGGTATTTTGCCAAGGAGAGGAGTTGGAATGAATGGTTGTCCAGGGCAATTGGTGTCAATTGCTGGTTGGACAAATACTGTAAGGAAAATGCGGTAACATTCATTGACAACTGGGACCTCTTCTATGGCAGAAATGACATGTATGCCAGGGATGGGGTTCACTTATCTAGGTCTGGGGTGGGGGCACTGGCAAATGCAGTGGAGGGAGCTGTTAGGACTTTAAACTAGGAATAGTTAGTGGTATGGGTTTTGGCAGGAAAACAGTGAAGTCCCAGTGTAGTAATATTATGAGTTCTAGGGGAACTAGTAATAAGCAGAACGAGGTAGATATTGAAAAGCCAGTGACACTGGGTGATAAGGACAGTAATAGGTTTAGTAGAAAAACAGAAATGAGCAGGAAGGGTAAAGAGAAAGGAGAGTCTTTCAGTGTTTATTATGCTAACAGCCGTAGTGCTAGGAATAAGATGGACGATAGTTAGGTAAGACACATATGCAACAGTTAGGTATCTTTATTTCGAAACGTTTCGCCTGCACAGTAGGCTTCTTCAGTCGAGTACAGAAAAGTTGATAGAAGCAGAAGAGACTTGAAGACGATGTAATCAGTCCATCACCCTTAAAGTTTTGAGGTGGTCAGTCCCTCAGTCTGGAGAAGAGCATTGTTCCATAGTCTGAAACAATATGGAGTTGAAGTGACAAGATGGAGCCTTATATAGCGCCAGGAGGTGAGACGTAGGTCACTAGTAGAACGCAGATGTTGGGAGGTCAGGTCCCTCTCAAATCCAGCCGTTCTCACTAGTAGAGGTTGTCGAAGTTGACTTCAGGTCTGTACCAAGATACCCTTGTGTTGCAATGTCTGACAGATTGAACATTAAAATGGTATAAAATACCGACAGGTTGTTAGGTAAGACACATATGCAACAGTTGGGTATCTTTATTTCGAAACTATGGAACAATGCTCTTCAGACTGAGGAGTCAAACAGGAGTCAAGGTCAAGAACCTCCTGCACCCCTACCTCAACGAAGAAACAGAAACAAGAGGAACAGGAGACGTCAGCAGGGTACATCTGGTCAATGCGATCAGCAGGCGGCACTAAACGAGCCTCCACCGGCCATAGCACGACGATGCAGGCACTCCTTACCTGGCACAGGCGCTTTGCAGGCTCAACTGGCACCTCACCAGCAGATCCCGGCTACCCAACCTGGTATACAGCAACAGACCACGGTGCATACAATAAAGAAATCCAACCCTCAGCAGTCCCTACAGACCACAACAGCCCAGATAATATCCACTGTTTTGAATCCAACCCCAAAGCAGTCCCTCACCAGGGAGGATCTCGTAGCACTCATAAAGGTGTTCACGGATTTTATTTGCAACACAATCAACTCCACGGAACAACAGAGCGTATTCCGTCAGATGGTCAGTACGCTCCTGAGAGTGTGCTTACTGACCGAGGAGGAGACAGTGGATGCCATGAATTTGCAGGTTCTCAGAGTGGGCAGGACTCAGTCTCCAGCTCAGGAAATAACAGCGATGGAATAACCTCGGTACCAAATCACACCCTCAAGGTCCTACAATGGAACATTCAAGGCCTAAGGAGCAAACAGCACCTCTTGCTGGAGGCAGTAATTCGGGATCGGGTTGACATCGTCTTGCTGCAAGAAACTCTGACTGTCCCGACTATGTGCCCAAGACTACCCGGTTTTGCTGGGTATTTTCGGCACATGAACCCGGGCGTTCACTGCAGAGGCACAGCTGTATTTGTATCCAATACAATACCTCACGAGGTTATAGCCAACCCTGTGGACTGTGGGGAGGATGTCGAGGTACAGGCCATCCTTGTGCACATACCTGGGGCGCCCATTACCATCTATAACATCTACAAGAACCCAAGACACACCCTCGACATTGCAGAGCTCCTCGCACTAGCACGCACTGAGTGTATTATTGTGGGTGGAGATTTCAACGCACATCACCCAGTGCTGCACTCTTGCTCAGCAACCAATGCTGCTGGCAGACACATAGCAATGCTCCTACACGATTTTCCCCAGAGGTAAAGTTGCTAAACAATGGAGACCCCACACACCTGTTGGGTGGCTGCCTCGACCTTACCTTCGGGTCAAGACAACTCGCAGCAGGAGCCACATGGGAAACTCATCCTCACCTTGTCAGTGACCACTTTGCAGTGATCACCGCCTTCAACATCAACAGGCCTCCCACAGTTGTGCTGCCTCCTAGATGGGACGTAAAGAGGGCCAACTGGAAGGTGTTCCAGGATTATCTTCATACGGGGTGGTCCACATACTCTCTATCTGAAGACTGTGATACGGCTGAACAGGAGCTAATCACTGTTCTCACCCAGGCAGCAGAGTGCGCAATTCCAAAGAAGTACGCAGGACGCACTCACAAAAGAGACTGGTGGTTCTACAACGACGAGGTGCGGGAGCAGAACCACCGCATCAACTCTTTTAGGAAGCTATACAGGAGTAATCCTACGGCAGAGAACAGGAATACTCTGAGAGCCATTGTGCAGCATGCCCGCAGAGTCTCTCTCAGAGTAAAAACTGAGAAATGGCTGGAGTGGTGCTCAACATTCGGGCATCACACCACCTTATCTGAGATATGGGGCAAGCTCAACATAGCAACTGGCAAGAGCAAGCCGAGGCCACCAGCACACCCGAACCCATCCCAGGAAGCTGAGAAACTAGTGGAGCTTTTAACTTCCAGGGGAGCCTCCACTCAGCTCCCACAGGACATCCGGAATATACAGATGGATCTTCTGCCACAGCGCCAGCTAACGATACAAGCTGCATGTGAGTTGGAAGATGTGACTGATGAAGACCTCACGGACATGGAACTCCGACGTGCCATTAAGAACACAGGTGACACTGCCCCGAGCATCGATGGTGTTACGTACTCCATGATTGCACGGGCTGGGCAGAGTGGATGGAAGGCCATGCTAGACGTCATTAACAAGTCGTGGAGGGCCAGGACACTCCCAGCAGCTTGGAAGAAAGCTACCATCGTACCAATTCCAAAGCCCCAAAGGGCCCAGGCAGTATGAGACCAATATCGCTGACCAGCTGCTTAGCCAAGACTGCTGAGAGGATGGTGTTAAACTGCCTCCTATGGAAACTTGGACCCTCTCATCATCACATATTTGGCTTCACCAAAGGAGTGGGTACAGCAGAGTGCATAACCACTCTACTAAGCCAGATTGCTGATAGTAACAAAAAACCTAGTATCGTCGTCTACCTCGACCTTGAAAAGGCATTTGAACTAGCCAGCCCCACAGCAATTCTGGCAATACTAGCTCGGAAGGGAATCAAAGGACGCCTCCTGGCTTGGATAGAGTCCTACCTTATGGGCAGGCAGGCCTATGTCAGCTTTCAGGGACACTACTCCTCCTTTAAAATCCTGGAAAACGGTACGCCACAAGGAGGTGTGCTCAGTCCTACCCTGTTTAACATCCTTATGCAGGAACTTGTGAGCCTTCCCTTTCATAGTGGTACACAGCTCCTCAGCTATGCTGATGATCTTGCACTCATAGTGAATGGGAAAGGCAATTTAGAGCGACAGGCTCAGAGAGCTTTGGACCTAATTACACAGTCTTGCAAGGAACTAGGCCTCAAGATCTCGGCCGAGAAATCTCTTGCAATGATGTTCAAGGGACCAGATCCTGTGAATAGATTACGTATTCAGGATATAGCACTTGAGTGGACAGGCTCCTACCTGTACTTGGGAATCTACATTGATAAAAAGCTGACCTTTCAGAAACAGGCCGAGTATGTCAGGTCACGTGCTCTACTCAGACTCAACGCCATGAGAGCCATGACGAGGCACCGTGCAGGGGCAAGCAAAGATGTACTTCGCTTGTACTATATACAAGCTATACGCTCGCTCATTGACTACGGTGCACCGGTGTTAGCTCATCTCTTCCCGCAGAGCAGGCAAAGGGTGGAGGTCATACAAAATCAGGCGATAAGAACTATGCTTGGGGCCCCCATCTGGACCAACACAGTATGTCTCAGATCTGAGGCCCGGCTTCCTTCCTTGGCTGACAGAGTAAGATACATAAACGCCTGCAAAGTGGCCACGATTCTGCA